CTGTTTTTTATTGAAGCCTCACATACAGATGATGTTAAAATATTTTTAATATGTAAAATAAAAAAAACAAAAACCTCCCACGTTCTCTCCCTCTCTCCTTCTCATTTTCTAAAAAATGTGTAGACAAACGTTAGTATTTATTAAGAAATAATCTCTATTTCTAAAATATTAATTGAGAAATAACTACTATTTTAAAATATTAATTGATAAACAATCACCATTTGTAAAATATTTGATATTACGGATTAATCAAACTTTATGAGGAACTGTTCTTAATTAATAAATTTCTAATAAACAATAATGAAGAGGATATAGTGATAGATTGTGAGAAAGTAAAATGTTGGTCCACACAAATCTTACCAAAGTTGACCAAGGGTGAGAGAGAGAGAGAGAGAGAGAGAGAGAGAGAGAGAGAGGGGAGAGGAATGAGAGAGAGAGAGAGAGAAAGTGAGAGGAGGGAGGAAGGAAGGAATTTGGGGAAAACAAAAACATGACGTCTCTTCCTAAAAAACAAAAAAACATGACGTGAAAGATGAGTGAAAAAAGAGAAAGAAGGTTGGGCGAACCGGTGAAAGATGAGAGGTAAAGGAATATGGGGAAAATTTAAAAAATGATGGTAAAGATGTGAAAAGAGAAGGAAAACTGTTATTTCATGTGAAAGAGGGCCCGCGTGTCAGTGCGCGTAGTGTGTGAGATACGGCAATTTTTTTATCTTAATCATTAAATAAAGTTGTTTGAATAATTTTGGTTAAAATTAAAGTTTTGAAATTATTTTTTATTAGGTTTTCTGTAATTTAAACAAGTATCGGAGTGGCAAAGTCAAGATTTAAAATAACGGGTCATGATTGATAGGATTTTTACTGCTTATGTGAATGCGATAAAAACATTCTATTTTACTTGCAAGAATCACAAGGTTATTGTAGTATAAACGGATCTCGCAAGGTCATTCTCCACAGGGATTATTAAATAATTCGAAACAAATCAGATTCCAATTAATGATTGTAAAGTAGAAATTTAGATGATTGATTTTATAACCTACTTAAATTAAAAACGAATTTAACTATTAATGATAAGACAATCTGCAATATTAGGACTAGAGAAAAAAAACAGTTTTGAGAAAATCAAATTGAGAAGGCACTAGGGTTCCACCATCACCTAGTAATCCTATGAATTTTTACCCATTACTTATGATCTACACATACCACTTTGAAGGTTAGATTTTCCTAATTCATATTCTACTTGGAACCTCCAACGTAGAACGTATATCTAACATGCAACCCGTCCGGACGTTCGGATCAAATATGAACATGAAAGACTCATTATGCTTTATGAAAATCCTTTGAAAAACCATGCAATCCTTAAGACGTGATATTCATCCTAAGAGAAATTACAATTATTAATCACAAGAAGCCAGCGTCAATTTCAGGGAACCTTCCGACCAAAATTGCATCAAATTACTTTTCTAAAAATCCTAATGGTGATCAGGCATTACGACAATTAGATAGTTTTTATCTCGGTGATTAACAATTCAAAGTACGCATGCAATCGATCATAAGCAATTAAATAAAAATCACATATTCATGCTAAGGCTCAAGGCTTCGCCCTAGCAAAAGAAATTAGTTCCGCATATTCATAATTGAAATCATAGAAATATCTATTAAGAAAAGGATTGAAAACACCTTCAAGTAGAAAATCTTCAAAACCCTAGCACTTCTCTCTGTCTCCAATATTGCATAAAATAAAGCGTACTCTAAAATTGTAGACGGCTAAGCAATATATCTGCTAAGCCCCCACACAAACCCTAGCAAACTAAAATTAATAAAAACCCTAAATAAAAATAGTAAAATTCGTCTAAAATCTGAACAGCCACGTTTTGGCCCAAAAAGCTGCTCCAAAACTGGCCCAATATAGCTGGATTGATGTTTGTTTGGAATATTCTGAACACTTTTCCAGAAGGCCACGAACCCATCCGAGGTCATCTTGGGCTCCAAAAACGTCATTTAAGCCCAAAAACGTCACTTTCCAGCACTGCGCACTGCTTCTTTATTTCATCGCCAGAAAATAACTGCTTGGTGGAAAAATCCCAAATTTTGATACGATCAAGCTAATTGACTCACGAACGTCCTCCAATTGGAATTACTCCAAAATTCGTCCATTTGGTCCTGTTTTGCTCCAGAGGAAGTCGAAAGTCCTATATTGAAAATACAATTCAAAGTATCAAAATTCTTCCAATATATTAACCAAAATATACTAAGATTAGGGTAAAATATATAATATAAAATCTACTCATCAATGATTTCGATGAAAAAAAACTTCATCGGACCATTTCTTGTCAAGCACCTGGTGATTCCTTCCAACATATGTCGACAATATGAGAGGCTTGTCAGGCTGAAAATAGGAAATTGTAGAGTTATATTGAAGATTGTCAAGGGTTGTCAACATAGACATTTCATCGAACACTAAAGTATGCACAGTAAAGTCGCACGCAAGAAGAGAGAAAAGGTAGATAGAGGAATGATAGAAAAGTATGGAAGAAAGAGGTTGTAATTTAGTGTTGCTAATTTTTATATTTTCTAGTTGTTTATAGGAGTCAAATACAAATACATAGACAAACATACATAGTGATGTTGAACTTGTTAGAGTCATGAGCACCCAATGACCCCATACTAGCTCCACCACCGATTTAAACTATGCTTATTTACGATAAAATCTCATTAAACTTAAACTCGAGTATCATTTAACCAATGAGCCTTATTGTGTCATGTTAACAATTTTAACAGATTTATTAATGGACTTTACTAGTAAGATGCAAAAGTGAGGAGTTAAGTTTTCGAAATTAAGTAACAAAAGTTTTAAGTTTCAGATTGAAGTGAAATTTCAAAGAGTATAGATATAGTTAAGCCATTAACCTACATATTCAAAGGAAAATCGTATTAGTACTAAGTACGATGGTAAGCCTAACAATGCAAGTCACATTGTCTTGCAACACACACACACACACATATGTATAGGAATCCTTTAATAAGAGGGATCTCTATTTTTCAAAAAAAATGGGGACACCCTCTTAACCGTTAGATTGCCTTTAACGAAATTGTGTGGTTGAGATTGTGTGACCTGTGATTTAATCTCAACCACACAATTTCATTAAAAGGCAATCTAACGGTCAAGAAGGTGTCTTCATTTTTTTGGAAAATGGGGATCCCTCTTGTTAAAGGATCTCTGTGTGTGTGTGTGTGTAACACTTGAAATGGTATTCTCTTTACATTGGTACCACCATGCAACATTTAGATTGCCTTTAACGAAATTGTGAAGTTGAGATTGTGTGGTATGTGATTTAATCTCAACCACACAATTTCATTAAAAGACAATCTAACGGTCAAGAGGGTGTCCCCATTTTTTTGGAATATAGGGATCCCTCTTGTTAAAGGATCTGTGTGTGTGTGTATTTAACACTTGAAATGGTATTCTCTTTACATTGGTACCAGCATGCAATAAAATAAAAACATATCATATTAAGGATGATCAAGTTGGAAGAAGGGGCATGCTTGAAGTGGACTTCAAGGCAAAATGAAACCTTATTAAAAAGAGACTTACTATGCTTTAAACCGAAGTACAAATATATTACTACAACACTGTATCATTGTATACATCCAACTGCTGTATCTAATAATTACCATCAATTAAAATTAATACTATAAGTTGTACTTGTAAAAACACCTTTTCACTTTTGGGCCGGACCAGGATCCTCTTCGGATTCTCTATGTGGGGATCCGAATGATCAATCAATCGCAATCGTTCATCGTACATCGTGCGGTCAATTTTCGTTGGATACTGTTTATATTTAATTTTAAACAAAAATTAATTTTTAACCGTACGATATACGATGAATAGACACAATTGATTGATCATTTGGCTCCCCACAAATAGGATCCAAATGGGATCCTATTCCTTTTGGGCCATCTAAACCCAATAATTATGATTATACGAAGGCTTTTTAGCTAAAATGGTTTCTAAAATTGACATAACTCCTCATTTTGGTCCATGTGATTATCTACCGTCAATCATTTTAGCCCTTCTGAAAAATCTCCGTTAAATTTAGGGTATTTTGTCAAACCAACCCCTCCACTTGAATGGACGGTTTCTTCAATTTAACAGAGATTTTTCACAAAATAACCAAAAAATTGACAGTGAAAAATCTCAAGGACAACTTCTATTATTTTTTAATCTAAGAGACTAAAATGAAGAATTATTTCAATCGTAGGAACCATTTTAGCTAAAAAAAACTTATGTGAAGGAAGGGTGTTTCCTAAAACCTTCCCCATCCCCAAAAATTCACAGCCCATGTGCTCATATACATATATAACTAGCTCTTAGGTGGGAAAATTTGAGATACCTAACACATTACATACATAGGGTTTACTTATCTAGTGCAAAAGCCCCTAACTTTCTCTTGTATTTCCAACATAATTTCCAACCAAATCTCTTTACTGCGTATTCAAAAGTCTCAATATTCGATTCTGACTACTCTCTCCAGGGTTTAGTGAGGCCATTGTCAATTGCGACCCAACAAGTTGTGATAGAAACAAATATTTTTCATCATATAAATTAATGCTTATCCACAATATAGATAAATCTTTTACTATCACGCTCATTCTATTACTAATTCAAGTGTTATAATATCTGTGTAACATAGTTATGATTGATATTCATCGACTTCCAGTATAAACAAAGAAAATAACATGGTGAGTGCCTACCTACCTGATGGAGAAAATTGAATAGAGCACTCATTTGGATTTGGTTAAGTACTTGATAATTCACACTTGAATATTACAATTTAACAAATGACTGTTTTTTTATTAATTTAATCAATACCAAAAGAATTAGACAATAGGATATGAAATGATTACAATCACATCCCAAAGGTGAGAAACAAGTTTTCCACAATATTATTTTAAACCATGTAAATAATCTGGCTAGGAAGGTAGCCGACAAACCACAAGTAACAGAACTCCACTAATCATAATTCCGAAAAAAAAAATGGTAATAAGACTTTTTCAAAAGTGAGGCTCTCTTTAGACTCTTTATCACCTCATGTTTTTCGCACAATGTTTTATAGTGTTGACACATAACCGAGTGCAATAGCGTTCTAGGATTCATATAGCCAACCCTACTTAGTGAGAAAAAGCTTTGTTGTTATTGTTGTTATTGTTTTATAGTGTTGATGTTGGTATGAAAATTGACGTTAAACTGTGAGGTAACAGAAAGTCCACAGAGAGTCTTGCTTTGAGAGATTCTCCTTAGCGTTTCTATTATAAAAAAAAAAAAAGCAAAACAAATATTCTTGGGCAGAGCAGAATGTCAAAGTTAGTAAAGCTTACCAAATTTGAAGATGGCCTTTACAGTTTACTATAAATACCAGTAACCGTTTAGCTATAGCTTCGTGCAATATTGCAATACCACCTTTGCAATAATATTGATCATTAGCAAGCTCTCCTTTCGCTATTTTGCTAATGGCTTTCTCTCTTGGGTCTCAAGTACTCTCCCTTCTCATTGTTTTGCTTTTACTGCAATCTCCGGGCGAGGCTGCAACGTGCAGTGACTGCTTCGTTCACTCTCGAGCAACTTATTATCCGAATTCTGAAGAACAAGGAACAGACGGTAAGAGACTTCTAATCAAAGAAAAAGAATGAGCAAAATCTTTTATGTTGCAGGCATATGCTTACTAGATATTTTCTTGTATCGAACTGCAGTTGGTGCATGTGGATTTGGTTCATTTGGAGCAACACTCAATGGCGGGGATGTCTCAGCTGCCTCTGACCTCTATCGCAGTGGCCTCGGATGCGGAGCTTGTTACCAGGTGAGCATGCACGATTCTAAGATGTGTGTGTGTGTGTGTGTGTGCAAGCGCGTGTTCAATATTTGTGATCATAATTAATTTTCTTGATGGTTCCCTAGGTGAGGTGCACCGACAGTGCCTATTGCTCAGACAAAGGAGTAACTGCAGTTATAACTGACCAAGGCTCGAGTGATGGCACAGACTTCATCCTGAGTAAGCGAGCGTTTGGCCGGATGGCTCAAACTACTGAAGCAGCTGCTTCTCTGCAGTCACTTGGTGTCATTGATATCGAGTACAGACGGTAATTAACAGCCTAAATCCTGAAAGCAACTTTGAGGAACCTGCATGATTTTGTGATAAATCTATATGACTCAAGTAGCTCCTCAATAATCTGTCCTCTTTTTCCAAACATGCAGTGTTTCATGCAGCTATCCAAACAAAAATATTACAATCAAGATCGATGAGCACAGCAACAATCCTTATTATTTGGCTTTTGTAATAGAGTACCAGCAAGGGAAGAAAGATATCACCGCTGTCCAGCTGTGTGAGGTGTGTGTGTGTGTGTGAGTCAGGATCGGGTGACACATTTTTTTATCCATTCAATATATATAAACCAAACCAACTTGCCTTGCTCTTCGCAGGCACTGGCTTTTTCTTGAAATAAAATTACAAGATTTGATAGGTAGACAAATTAAATCATATGTTTGTTTATAGCTAATAAAACTCTTGTTCTTAATCATCAACCTAGTTTTAATTACTTGCTTTTATTATTAATTAATTATGTCACCTTCCTCATTACACATATAATTGAAATAATATATATATATATATATATATATATATATATATATATATATATATTTATATTAACTTATATTTAAAAAAATTGCTGCAGACAACAAACTTTGTATGCATAGTAATGGACAGGAGTTTTGGAGCAGTTTGGACAACAACTTCAGCACCAATTGGACCCTTGCAAATAAGAATGTTATTCAGCGATGATGATGACGAGACTTGGGTTGTTCCTCTGAACACTATACCACAAGACTGGAAAGTTGGACAAACATATGACACTGGAGTTCAAGTTAACTGATCAGATCAGATCGGATTTTATTAATCCTGTTTAATTATCAATTTTTATTAGTTTCTTAAAATTTGTTTTGTTTTGCAAATTGGAAGAATGAATGTATACGAGACTAAATTCCTCACCTTTTAAGGTATTGGGTGACATAATTGGCTGCTCCAATATTCCTCAAAGTTCCCTCCTATGTGGATATTTGAACTTTTCCCTGCAAAAACAAAACTGTTCAAAAGGTGCTAACCAGATTTTGATACCATAAAAAATATGATCAGAATGTACGAGGTTTATCACGCTCTTAAGGAACATATAAACACTCCTCGGTATAAAAATTGATATTGGCATAGAGGCAGCAATTATTTTAAGTGTTCTTATGAATTCAAAAAGTAAAACAAACTACAGAAATTTGCATCAAACCAACCTGTTTAATCAAGTGAAGGAACCGCTGTCTGTCAAACATATTTCCGTTCACTCCATGTTCCTTTCGACTATTATATGCTTTCTTCCTTCCATTATTTTCAAACGGCATTTGGTATAATGAAATCGTGAGAGGATTTTCCTCAACATTCAGAGCAGGCATGTCATGAGTTTCCAGTGTAGGTTAAACTTTCTTGATATATTAGATGCATAGATTTATGACTCACTAATAGTGCCAAATACAAGGGATAGCATCTCATCCACTTCGGGATGGAGTTTATCGCCTGAGAGGAATACATTTACTTTCCCTTGCACCAGAATCCAACTGCATCCAGGAACCTTTCTCACTCCTTTGAATCCCATCTCCCTTCTCAGCTGTCTTTCCTCAATATGCTGACCATTTGCAGCATATATGTTGCAAAGCACCACATGGGCTGGTGCATTTAAAGGATCCAGCTCTAGGAAATTTTTGGCTGCATATCTAGCAACATCAGCATTCGTTTCACCAAATCCGCATATACCAAGCAATGCACCCCAAACAGTGCGATCTGGTTTGAAAGGAAGCCTTGAAACAAATTCTTCTGCTTCTTTTACTTTCCCAGCTCTTCCCAGAAGATTAATCATACAAATGTAATGCTCCAAAGCTGGTTGAATTGCATAAACATTGCTCATGGCATGGAAAAAATCGCACCCTCTCGGGACAAGCCCTGCATGGCTACATGCTGATAGGATGCCCAAAAAAGTGACCGAATTTGGTCGGATTTTAGATTTGACCATGGCTCCAAAGATCTTCAGAGTCTCATTTGCATGTCCGTGGTCTGAAAACCCCATAATCATGGAATTCCAAGAAATCAAATCCCGGAAACACATGTTTGAGAATGTACGGTAAGCGTCATCTAGCTCCCCACATTTGGCATACATGCAAATCAGTGCGTTGTTAATAAACAAGTCAAATTCGTACTGTGTTTTGATCAGCAGGCTGTGGAACTGTTTCCCAGAATCAAGATATGCCATTGCACCTGCAGCTCCAAGAAGAACTGAATATGTTGAACTGAGAGGCAAAACACCTTCTGACCTCATTTCTGAAAACAAATTGGTAGCTTCAGCAAAAAGCTCATTTTGGATGTGCCCCGAAATCATCACTGTCCATGCAATTGCATCCTTTTCTGGCATGATTTGAAACATATTACAAGCTTTTGATACTTGTCCAACACTAAAATACCCAGTTATCATAGACGTCCAAGAGATCTTGTCTCGGATGGGTGCATTGTCAAAGCAAATTTGAGCCTGTTCTAGCTGCCCAATCTGTATGTAACCGTTAATCATAGAATTACAAGACTGAGCGGTACAGTTACTTGAGTTCTTGATGAAAAGAAAGTACGCGGAATCCATGATACCAGAGGCCGAGTACATGTGAATGAGGCTCTTTGATAATCTGCCATCATAATCATCATGGTCCCAACCATTGACAACAACTGAGCATGTAGTTGCTTGCCAAGATGAGGCAAACCAATACCCGCACAAGCATAAACAAGCGATATGAAGGTCTCTCCGTTTGGTTTTGTGTCGTAGTTCCCCTTCAGTTCAAGAAATAGCAATAGAGCTACTTTATAGAAGCCATTCCAAGCAAAGCCACCAATCATGGCTGTCCAAGAAACAACATTCCTCTCAGGCGTTTTTTCAAACAAAGAGTATCCCTCATCCACATGGCCAGACCGACAGTAACCGGATATCATGCTAGTCCAAGTAATCACATTCCTATCGAGCATCTCATCAAACAAAACTCTTGCTTCGTCCATTCTACAATTCTCAGCATACCCAGAAATCATAGCATTCCAAGAAACAACATTCTTCGTCGGCATTTGGTCAAAAACCTGCCTTGCTCCCTCCAAATCCCCATTCTTAATCAACCCAGCCATCATCGAATTCCAAGAAACAACATTCCTCTCTGGCATCGCATCAAACAACTGCCTTGCCTCGTCAATCCTCCCCGCATCCGCAAACCCACAGAGCATTGAAGTCCAGGAAACAACATTTCTCTCTGGCATCTCATAAAAGAATCGCCAGCCCTCATTCAACCTCCCAGATTGCACATACCCAGACAGCATTGCATTGTAAGAAACAATGTTCTTCTCAGGCATGATATCAAAGAGCATCCGTGCCTCATCGACCCAGCCACTCCTCGAGTATTTCGTGAGCAAACAAGTCCAGTGAACAACGCGGCCATGGCTGCTTCTCTCAGGCAATTTCTCAAGCAGCTTACGTGCGTCTTGGCACCGACCTTGAGAAAGACAGTGAAGAAGCTGGGAATCGTCGGGAGTGAGTTTAGCATAATGGGTTCTCGAAAATGGAATCTGGGTTTTAAAACATCGGCAAAAGAAATTGCCGGAGCCAATTCTGATTAAGTTTTCTGACAGACCAAAACGGAAGGGCTTATAAAATGAGGCGCGCATCAACCTTCAGAAAAAATAACAGTATGTTAAAAAGAAATCCCAAATACCTTATGTATCCCCTATCCGCCGGTAGACTTTTCAATGTCACGTATTATTATACAAATAATGTGATATATGTATTTAAAAATTAAAATTTCTTATTATTTATATAAAAGATTTCTTCCTGTTCTGATCATGATGAAAAAAATTTCCTATCTGCGCGCAAATTTTGTAAAGGGATAGGTAATTTTAAAGCGCAGATGATGGCGGCTAACTAGAAACTTGACGACAAATCAAAGAAAAGTTGGGGAAAATTCGGAGAAGATGGGAGAGTTTATGCCAAGAGGTATAGGTTTAGAGAAAAAAGCATTGGTATCTTAGAGCATCTCCTAGATAGATATTAAAATATAAATATCAAAAGTTAATTTAAGGGAACTTTAACGAAAAGCACCCGGTACTGTTCACTTTAACGAAAAACCACATTTTTACACTAAAAAGTCAATCCTAGTACTATTCACTTTACCCTTTATTTTGTTCTTATCATTAAAACTCAAAGTTTTCAAACCCTTTTCATTAGTTTTCCTTTAATTTAATAGTTGATGTGACATCAAAAAGCTTATGTGTTATTGATATAGCAGTTGAAACATGTTTTTACTTGCAAAATTTAATTATGTGGCATTCTACTCAAAATTCGATATATCATTTAAAGATGGTCTTAAAAACATTTGATAACCATTTTGTTTTTATTTTATTTTTTAATTTAATGCTAAAATTTTATTTGGTAACTGTTTTTTTTTTTAAAGAAGCTAAAAACTAAAATATAAAAACTACTTTCTTGAGTTTTCAAATTTTGGTTTTCAATTTCATTTTGTTCTTAAAGCTAAAAGTAGTTTTCATTTCGTTTTCAGTTTTTAATTTGAATTTTGGTTGAAAATTTTGAAAATTTTGAAAATTGAAATCTTATTTAGTAATTGTTTTCAATTTTCAAACTAAAAGGTAAAATCTCAATTCTAAGTTTTGAAAACTCAAAAAAATAATTTTCAGTATTTTTGAAGACTAACTAAACAAGATTTAAAAAAGCGAAATGGTTATTAAATTTTTTTTGTTGAGAAAGAAATGGTTATTAAAATTTAAAAGGTTTATTAAATTTTTTTTCCAAATTAAAAGGTTTATTAATTAATTAAACTAAAACCTGAAACGACGTAGTGTCGATGGTTTATGTTTGTTGCTGGATCTACTAAAATACACGTCTCTCAAATCTCAATCTTGTCGGTTCCGTTCCCAGACAGACTCCAAATTTCATTACTGCAGGCTCCAGCCGCATCTCTCCTCCTCCGATTCTTGGGTTCCGGTATGAATCCCTAAATTTATTGACCTCTCTGCTTCCATTTTCTCTGATTCTTCTGCTAATCCAATTGATGAATATATAAAATATTACATTTTTTTAATTATTAATTGTTTAACAATTCTACTGTTAAACTCATTGATTGGATTGGATTGGATTGCATGTCCTAGTTTTGAATTTTATCATCTGATCTCTCAATTAATCCTGGCAGTATTTAAACGTTTGTGTTTTTTTCGATGGAGGGACTTGTAGACGTCCTGTAGAATCAATGCCGTTTTTCCTACTCAAAAAATGGATTAGTTTTCATATATGTAGTATATAGTATATAGTATATGTACATGGATGCATTGTATCATTGTATGTGTTAGTTTTGAGTTCCCTTATGTTTTGTTCTAGTATATGGTATAAGGTGAAAAACGAGATTGAAATACTACGAAAAGGTCTTAGGTATTACAAATTAACGCTATGCTCACAAGTTTATCTTTTTGTGACATTCAATATTTTCGTTTAGAAGTCCTTTTAAATTGATTGAAAGCGTTTTTTATGGAGTGTTTTTGGGTTATAAAAGCACTTGAGGTGCATTTTGGAAGAAGCACTAGTTATGTGCTTCTTGCATAAAGCATCTAAGTGCTTTTCCAGGATTCACTTACATTTTTATTAGGTTTAACATGATTGTAAGTCTATAGAGTGACGAGTGAGTTGAGTTCCAATTTGGCCCATGCAGTTTCAATTACAGCTAATTTCTCCGGATCGTTCTTCATTTGATTCTCTATCCCTTTGATGTGCCTAAAAGTTACTTTGTGGATTCGAAGTGTGATGATAATTGAAGTTGAAGTTGGATTGTTACCATATACTAGGAAGTAGGAACAGTAAAAACAGTGAGCAGGCTATCAAAATTTCATTAAACGAGAGGAAAGGGAGATGTTCACAAGTTGAAGTCGATTGGCTTAAAACTTTAGCAAGTGAAAGTTTGTAGTTTGTTTCTTTTTTGTTTACTTGCTTGAATAATGTAGTGGGTGTTTAGTTATTTACAATAGTTTTTTCTAAAAAAAAAATGAAAGGGGATCAGCAAGTGGCTTCGCTGCAGCAGTCAATCCTTGCAGGGGCCGTGAAGGCTCACAGAGGTATTTTAGCCTTCCCTGACTACCATCGTGTGATTCACCAGTGCCAGGCATCGAACCCATTATGGCGCTCATAATTGTTGGGTGGCTTTTTATGTCTAATCTGTTTGGCATAAGGGCATTTTGTTTATGTTGAAAATATCAGTTTTTCAGATTGCTTTGTTCTTTTGGATAATCGTTTAGAGAATCTTTAATTTACATCTCAGGCTGGACATTATTGATATGTACCTTCCTATTTTACCTTTCAGTGATGCTGCCAAAACGAAGCCTTGACCTTCAGAAGAACCACAAGGACTAGTAGTATATATAAGGGCTGTGTCTAAAGCTTTTAGCTTCGAGATCCGAAAATGGAGTTTTTGGATGAGGACGCAAGGCCTAGGTTCCTCTTCCAATCCAAAGCAGTAGCTTCTTCTGCCGCAGACCCGCAACCCCATTACAAGAATCTCAGCAAACCATTCATTTTCTTTACCATCTTGATCTCGTTTCTGTTACTGGGTCTCGCCTTCTTCCTCCAATCCGAACCCTACCAATCTCTTCTTATATGGGCCGCTCTCGCCCTCCTCATTGGCCCCTTCGCTCCTGCACCTGTCACTGGTGGTGACATTCGGGTTGGTCATGGCCCAATCGTTGACTTCCCAGAAATTGCAACCCAAGTAGAGGATGAATCAAAGAAGAGGGTTTCTCAGAAGAGATCAAAACCACGTCGATTTGATGAATTGGGTGCAGATTCAACGCCCGTGCCCGAAACAATTAGTGGGTCTGTGAGAGAAAAGAAAAGGAGTGAGGCTTCCGAAGGTAATGGTAATGGATCAGTGGTTTTTGGTGAAGAGACGGAGTGGGTTGAGGAGGATGTTGAGTTCTTGAAGAAACTGCTTTTGAAGCACCCGGTGGGGACACTGAGACGGTGGGAGGTTATCACCGAATCCTTTCAAGGAAAGCATAAGGTGGAGAGTGTGATAAAAAGGGCCAAAGAATTGGGAGAGAAGAAAGTGAGTGATGCAGATTCGTATGCAGAGTTTCTGAAGAAGCGTAAGCCCAATGACAAGAAAACTGAAAGTGGGAATCAAGAGTTGGGTGATGAGTCGGTGGCGGAAAATGGTGAAGTGAAGAAAGAGAGTTGGTCTTCTACTGAAGACATTGCATTGCTGAATGCCTTGAAGGCATTTCCAAAGGAAGTGTCAATGAGGTGGGAGAAGATTGCAGCTGCTGTGCCTGGGAAGTCGAAGGCTGCTTGTATGAAGAGAGTTGCTGAGTTGAAGAAGGGCTTTCGGAGCGCCAAGGCTTCTAACGAAGAGTAGACGAAGTTTGTCTGATCAAATTTTGAATCGGATCTGCATTTGCATTGAGGAGGTAATTTTGATGATTCATTGTTTTGTTTGAATTGAAATTGAGAATTGTTGCCTATGTTTGATCCGTAGGCAATTTCATATCATAGTTCCATTGGAGTTTGGCGATTGTCCACCCTTACAAACATGCTGTAACTCATACCTCTAAGTTATTTATGGTTTGATATACAGAAGTAATATTCATGTACGGATGTGATATATTTTAGTTTTATTTCTAATGATGTTTTTCTGCACTTGTAAATGAGATATCTCAAAATCGACCACCACGAATGACGAATATAGGTGACTGAGATCATCACCTCAAATCAAACTAAGCTAACATTTTACATGGGATCCGCATGATGTCAATCACACGGTTACTACCATTCCATCATGAATCATGGTGTGCTAACTCGTACTACCTCGTTCATATGACTAATTTTTAGGTGTGCTTTGAAGCACCATATACATTAGGAAGCACCATATACATTAGGGAGAAGGGAGTGAGTTTAGCCTGACAATGGTCTAACAATAATATGATTCAAATTCGCCTTTAGGGAGAATGAACTTAAGACCTCTCACTTACAAGTGAAGAGAAATACCACTAGACCAAGTGAAGGGGAAGACCTCTCACTTAATACCGTAGTATTAAGTGACAACTGTATCTTCTACTTATATTCCATCGTACCATATTATTATCATACCAATTTTGTGTCAAATGATAATGGTATGATAATTGTACCGAACCGAAGAAAGAAATAGACAATATTGTCTTAAGAAATAAATAATGTACAACCCCACTATAGACGGTATTTCAAACAAGTAACATAATATCACGTGATAGTATCGTATTATTGATTTAAAACGGTAAATAAACTACCTTATGTGTGATTTTATAATATTAATTTGCAAAAGAAATGAACAAATAAATAAGGGGTCTGTTTGGTATCTAACTTGAGAACGAAACTCAAAGTTTAATTTTTTCTAAAAACAAATGTTTTGATTTAAAATTTTTTAATTCAAAACCTTGTTTGGTATGCATTTTCTCAAAACTAATCCAAACAGAAAAAGTCAAATGCCCAGCCCAAGCAATTACCCGACCACCGCATCCCTCACTTCCCTAGTGGCGACTCCTTTGGCTATTTACCAACTCCTTACTCCAAACTCGCGCTGACAGAGGCTAATCACGTTGGCGGTCTCAAACCTGAGATCCAACAACCGTAGGGAAGATGTGGTGGCTATGGTGGATGCAAGTGAGAAGAGATAAGATTGAAGAGGCAACAAAGAAGATAGTATTGAAGAGGCAGGAAATATCGATTTATCTTGACCGGAGGGAGAATGATAGAGGTGGTGGCTATGGTGGATATAAGCGGGAAGGGATTGGAAAGACAACAAAGAAAAGAGGATTGAAGAGGGAAGAGGTAAGGGAGTACATCGAACGGGAGAGAGGAGAGAGAGGGAGAGAGAGACGGGAGTTATAATCCATAAAATAAAATGTCTAAAAACACACTTTTTGTGTTTTCATCCAATAGCCATTGTTTACATATATTTTTGAGTTATGGTTTTAAGAATTGTATTCAAATCCACTATCAAATAAAGATTTTAAATTTGTAACTCAAAACTTATTTTTGAGTTAAAAACATCGAATCCAAATCAACTACTAAACAGGCCCTAAACAACTCCAAACTCCCAAGTTTACAACTCACACTGCTTGATTTGATGCGCAACTGTAACGAAAAAACCTATTCAGGGAAAGGTGCAGGGGTGTGTTCCTATTGATTTGCAAAAATTAAAAATAACTAAAATGAATGGATAGAGACAAAGGAGGAAAGGGGAGAGAGGTTAGGTGAAAATTGGGATCACGTGCCGGGATCAATTCAAGACTTGTTGTTGAGGTCCGATTCCAGAATTCTGAATTGTGGAGGCCCGATCCGTTTCCTGTTCGGGTAATCTTTCTTTATTGAGCTCAGCTGTTGACTCCGGACGGACTCCGAATCACCAACCGACCGTTTTCGCCGGCAGTGAGGTCGGAATCGGATGGCTGAGCTCGATTGATTTGATTGAAGTAACAAGTAAGGTAAATTCTTCAACCTTCCTTGGTGATTGCATTTTTGTTGAAGAATTGTCATTAATTATGGATAATGGATATTTGTGGATCAATTTGGGATTTAAGTGGATGGAATGATACCTTAGTGGGAGTTGGAACCCTAACCCTGCTCTGATGATAGACATTTACGAACAGATTAGATTGGTTTTATATTTTTACTTATTAATTTGGGGTTTCTATCTTTTTGTGTTTGATTTGAGGATGAGGGTTCCATTTCCAAATTTCCAATCCTATGAATTGCTGTAAGAAAGTCTCTGTTTTTCCTACATGCATTGCATTGTTCCCAACTTCAAAACACTGAGATGTCTAGTTCCGAATCCTTAGCTGCGCAGTAGTGTATTTGTATATCGTGGTCATGGATTCGTTGATTGTGCACACGGAGCATAATGCATTGACACATGAACCAACACTTTGTGTATGTGTATGTGTGAAATAGGCACTCGACGCAGTTTTAGCTGTAGTTTCTGCGGAATGGTTAATCTGTATTGTAGACTTTGCAATGATTTTCAATTGTACAACACGTTTTGTAAGTAATATACTAGGGAAGTAATAAGTCATGATAGTTGTGAAAGAAATCACAAGCAAGAGAAATAACATCGCCCCACACATGTGCCTATATGCCATGCTTCAGGGTGGTTCCGTGGTTCACTCTATGCTTATGGACTAACATTCAGAGATTGAAGTTGATGTATGGGGAATGAGCATATATTTAAGCACATCATGATTTCAGGTGGTCCCCATCTGCACGCTAAGGCAAGTACTTGATGGCAGACTTACCAGGCTATATGCGTGCCTGCTTGCATACTGGAAAACTTGCCGCCCTGGCAATTTTGGTCTCTGGAGGGATTGTATTGCAAATTTTGGTGGGTAGTGCTTCTTATTGTCAGTTATGCTCAATTCATATGTAATTAGTAAGCTTTTCTCTGTTGTAAGTTGACAGTCATGCTAGGTTCTCATCTATCACGTTTTTCGATGCAGGCGTGTGCTTTGTACAATAATTGGTGGCCAATGCTAACTGGTAGGTTCTGAACTGTTGTTTTCCTTCGTAAGCTTGCTATGTGATGCCTTTTCTTTTGGCCAAATAAGCTGTTATGTTATGCTACGTGTTAATGTGCTTATAAGATGATAGGTATGCCAGTACTCATAAAGATTTCAATTTTTGATTATCTAGCTCCTTTAAGAAAGAATCTTTAAGGGTAATGATATTCTATTCCCTTTATTTTAATTCCCATAACTCAAATGAATAAATAGATCTGAATACGTTTTACTTTTTGCTTTCTTTTTTGTCAAAGTTTCTTGTATCTCTTTGCTTCATTGTTTCAGAATTATTTTCATATTTGTCTTTGACGTGATTAGAAACAAGAGCCTTTGAGCCTTCGGTCAGGTGGTAAAAGGATAGTGATATGGTTTGATGGTGACTTTAAATGACATCTAGGATCTAGCAACATGTACGAATATAGGTTCAGGAATAAATCAGGATTGGATATCTCTGCTGTCCTGTATTTATGGTATTGGTTTTGGTGATATTCCGCACCTCCCCCCGTAATGCTTATGTTTGATTGATGGTTAAAGGTGATTAGTAATTCTTCTATACAGGTGAATGCTTTCACTAGAAATAATTGCTTTCCAATAACTAAAATGTGCGGATAATGGAATTCCACGATCATATCGTCCCCTTATTTGCTGGTATCAAAGTCTCTGTTATATTGCCATCATTGGCGTGTTCAACTTAACATTTTTTAATTATCAAAACAAGATAAATATTACATTTTTAAGGAATCTTCCCTCGAGAGAACATCCTCTATGTAGGTTTCAATGATTTGCATGAAAACATGCATGCTGATGGTGTGGTCATCTCACGATGTTTTGCAGTAATAATGTATGTGCTCCTTCCCATGCCATTGCTGTTCTTTGTGGGATCCGATTCTTCTATATTTTCACATTCTGAAAATGGGTTTGTCTTTCTCCCCTGAACTTGCTTACTGAAATAACTATTCGTTTAAAGTCTAAAGCTACATCAACACTATTCGTGTTCTTACTCCCTTCGCTTATTAAATACTGTATGATGAAACAGCTGGGTAAATGCAACCAAGTTCTTGACCGGAGCTTCAGCTATTGGAAGCATTGCAATCCCTGCTATCTTAAAACACGCTGGTGTAATTGGTTGGGGGGCCCTGGCTATGGAGCTCTCATCCTTTTTCGTATTTGTACTGGCAATAATGTGTTACATTCGGACAAGTGATGATGATGACAGCTACAGTTCGATCTGAGGTATGCCTCTCCTGCAGTCCTGCCAGATTTCTGTAAAGACGTGTTATTTTCCCATAGGATGTTTCTATTTCTTGGTGAGCATTGCCTCCAATATCAGCTTGTTATATATTCCAAAACTGCTTTCCCCTTTACGTTTTTTCCTGTTTGAGTGTAATTATTTATCCATGTAATTGAGTGTGTATTGTGTTTAATACGTTTTAACATCTCACTGTATCGATTCACATCGGAATTGTGTGTCCTTGTACTTCTAGTGTAGTTGATGGTTTGGTCGTCACATCATGGTCTCCGTTGTTAAGAAGTGTCTAGAAGGGTAAATAATATCATTGTTTAAAATTAATGAGATTATTACAGGAATTAAAAATATTGTAAGGGCTCAACTCCGCTTTTTATTAAAGCTGTTTTTAAAAGCAACTTACATGCTACTTTTAAAAGCTGTTGTCCGGAGGCTATTGCTTTTAAACTACGTAATATATTTTATTTTTACCAAATACTTTTTTACTGTTTAACTTTAAAACGAAGCAGTTTTTTGTGGAAAAAAAAAACAATACCAAATTGGGCCTAAGTCAACTCACATATGTGGAATAACTTAAAGGACTAAAGATAAACTTGAACATGAATCTAACTCAAATATCAAGAGAACAACTTACTTGAAACAAATTTATCATTCTCAGAATGTGTCTATCTACTAATATATTAACAAATATAGACCGTATAATAATCATTTTATTTTCAGTTTCAGATTTTTGTTTTTACTTTTTTTTTTTAAATTGTTTGGTTACTTTTAGTTTAAAAAAAAATGAAATATAAAAAAGTGAAAATACAAAGCTAAATTTTGAAACTTAAGAATGTAGTTTTCTGTTTTAAAAAATAAAATAAAAACTAAAAGTAGTTCCCAAACGAGTTTTGAATTTTAGTTTCTAAAAAAAAGTGATAAAAATGAAAATTGAAAACGAAATGGTTATCAAAACGGCTTCAGATAAACAGACTGGAACATGATGCGGCCATGGACTTGTTTTATGTACATACATAGTCCAAAAAAGTAAAAAACACCGAAGCACCAAGGGGTGGGCAGTGGGCTTGGTAAATCAAAACCGAAACTAAAAAAATTGATTGAAAACTGAATTGAAACTAAAAACACAAACCGAACTTAAATCTATCGGTTTGGTTTCAATTTTGATAGTTCAAACATCAAACTGAACCAAATATAAATCAATATTTTTTTTTTTATATATTTATGTTGTGTATTCATTTTTCAAAGTCCACCTTGAAGTTAAATATTAGTCTAATTTCAATTCAAAGTTAGATAAACTCAACTTTAAGCCAATTATGTTTTAAACAAATGATAATATTTGCATTAAGGGGGAGGGATAGGTTAAGCCTCGCTAGTAATAATGTGATTCAAATTTACATTCGACAAAAATAACTTAAACCTCTCACTAATAAGTAAAGAGGAAAGCTTTATTTCTTATATATTTTCGCTTCATTTTCTCTCTATTTTAGCTTAAAAATAAAAAGATTTTTTTTACAAAAACCAAAGTGGACTGAAAGCCGAACTTACCTTTGTTGGTAAAAGGAAAGTATTTTAGAGATATGATATAATTAGTGATTTTATATGATTTAATTAGGATTTTAATATGATTTGATTTGGTGTGGATTTCTTTGTCTGGTATATAAATGATTTATTTCCTAATATTACTCCTTTGTTATCTTATAAATATATATCTGTAAAGAAACATAAAATATTAAAATTGTTATTTGAGTTTGTGAGATTATTAAAAAACTCTTATATTTATCATAAACCTTTTATTTTCAGTTATTTTGCGAGGCAGAAAACGCTCTGGTCGTAGAAAGTGAAAAGTGAAAAGCATGACAATAGACACCGCCACCATGGGAGAGCAAGAGCAGCTGCGCCTTCAACTCTCCGCCCTCCACTTAAACACTCCGCCTCCTCCGCCGACTCCTTACCAAAACTTGTATGAGTCTGATGACCAACAAGTCTTCTACAACGACGACGGCTTGCTGTTCGACATCGGGCTCGGAAACGTGATTGTCGTCGATAACCTTCCAATTGTTGATGCCAGGATGGCCGAGAAGCTCGAAAGCGAAATCCGACGAGCGTTTAGTGAAGTTGGTGTGATTAAACACGATGGGGTTTCCGTGCCTTTGAATCCCCAAACTCACGAAAGCTTGGGTCGTTGTTTTATAGAGTTTAATTCTCGTCAGGTAGTATTTATTTTCTGTTTTTTTTGAATTGGGAATTTTATGCTTTTATTTTCATGCTGTCGAACTTGAATTTAATTAGGTGCTAATTGTGTTCAATCGTTTGATTCGAGGGAGAAATTTTAAATCATGGCTATTGTATCCGGTTTGTTGACGTCTCTCTTTTCTTTGGAGTTGAAGGATTTGTATGTATTCCAGGGGATCACTTGCTGATGTACTTGTAATTTCATCCGCTCATCGATATGCATTTCTTTGGCATCTCATCTTTTCATGTTTCCCTTTGTAGGAAGCTGAAGTTGCTAGGGAGAAGAGAGATGGATACAACTTCCATACGCATACACTATCAGTAAGCCTGTATGATGATTTGGACAGGTTCGTTGATATCCTTGATGTGGGGACTACCATTGAAACTTCTCCAGCCGCTTTTATGGTAATTTTTCGTAACCTCTCTGTTCCTGTCAACCATTTTCTATCAGTTCAACTTTTCCATATGCATTTAGCAAGTAGACATTTTCGTAGTTATTGATTTTAATGGTATTCAATAGTATCTAATATATACACAAAATTTCTGTTTACTTAAATTGCATATTGAGATGTATTGTATATTGAAGAGATGCCAGACGCTAGGACTATAAGCTATCGAGTTGAAATTTTCCATTTTTAATTTCTTAATATATTGAAGTTGATCAGTTTCTTCCTTTCATTTCCTAAGTTTTAATTTCAAGTTCTTGATTTCTCGTTACTGCAATCAAGAATCACCTTATGTTTGCAGCAGTGTCGGGTATTTATTTTTTCGTTTTTGTGAAAAATAAAATAAATCTATGCTGCAGTCCTCAAGGCATACGGGGCCGCCCCCCTTGCTTAGTCCCTTGAAAGAGGAAGATGAAGAAGTACTCGAAGAAGCACAGCGAGTAAACCACGGCAGAAAAGTAAGAGACGAAAAGGAGCAAGATTTCGGGGAAGTCACGGCATCGATGGGAATGATGAGTATTAGAGGGGAAAGCATGGAATGAAGACTGCAAGTGTACATGCACATTTTAAGTGAATTTCCAGTGCTTAGTGCTCTAAATTTTCATCCCATATTTCTCACCCAACATCTTTGTTACAAGTTTATCCGGCATAAAATTACTTTCAATGAAATATAATCTCTTTCAAACAAAGATAAGGCCTACTTACATTAGCCGAAGCTACTTACAACGATCAATTTGTGGACAAGTTAATGTTTGAATAATGCTCTAATACATCAAACATACACATCAAAATCGAAAATAGAAAGAGTAAAGAATAGATGAAAGACACGTTAATCACTGTCTTAAAGTCGTAGATGTTCTTGCACGATCGCATTTTCAAAATGCAACCATTTGAAGTCTTAGCACGATTACGGTAGACGAGATGTTAAGTGTTTAATGGGGGAATGAGTAGGAGGGGATACTAGGTGAATAGATGGCTAAGGACTCAGAGATCTGCCACACGTTGGAAATCTATTTAGTGTTGATTGTCCATAATCTATTTCCACTTATTATTATTATTTTGGAAACTATCTATTTCCACTTGTTTAAGAGCAAACAAAACGGGGCGTTTTAGTACCAGCGCTGAGGTACATTCCCACATCGCCCAGACGAGGATCCACAGTACGCTTTATATATGATTTGCCTGCAGAGAAGCTCGTCCCTTCGGGGACATCCGATAAAATTGGAACGATACAGAGAAGATTAGCATGGCCCCTGCGCAAGGATGACACGCATAAATCGAGAAATGGTCCAAATTTTTTTTTGATTCGTCCAATCAAACGGTTTCAATCTCCGTTTCGCTCCATTCAAGGTAATTTCAGTTCTTAAAAACAAAATTTTCAAAGATTTCTGGGTTTCTTTTTGCTTCTTCGCTGTTAAATTACTCAACTCGAAGTTAATTTTGTTCAAACACCAAGTATTGTTCTTCAATTTATTCTTACAACAAAGCATATGAGAACGGGGCACACTACCTGTTCGATGAAATGTGTCTGAGAATCTGTCAATCTGATGTATTTTGTGTCGGAGCGTAAAAATTCGGCTTTTCCAATCCTCCAACAAGTAATCTTGTAACCATGTCCAATGGAGGAGTAATTTTCGCTTGCTTTGCTCGACTGTAGCTCCACTTCCCCATGTTTTCGTGGGTTGTTTTGTTGAACTTTAGTTTACTTGTTTCTCTGGTTAATTTTGATTTGGTTCTTAATGTTTTAGTTGGCAACCAGCACTGCACCTTTCTGCAAAGATGGAGAGGAGTGAAGGGCAAACTTTTCGAGTCCGAAAATTAGAGATGTCAGATAAAAGCAAGGGTTTCATACAACTGTTGCAACAGCTAACTGTTTGTGATTCTGTATCTGACAAGGAGTTTGCAGATAGGTTCGGAGAGATTAGCTCCCTCGGAGATGACCATGTTATCTGTGTTATAGAAGATGATCGCTCGGGGAAGATTATTGCAACTGGAAGCGTGTTCATCGAGAAGAAGTTCATCAGGAACTGTGGCAAAGTCGGTCACATTGAAGACATTGTGGTTGACGCTGATGCTCGTGGGATGCAGTTAGGGAAGAAAATCATTAGCTTCCTCACGGATCATGCTCGTTCTGTCGGGTGTTATAAGGTGATTCTTGATTGCAGCAACGAGAACAGAGCATTCTATGAGAAGTGCGGCTTCAAGCAGAAAGAAATTCAGATGGTCAAGTATTTCACTTGAAAAGCTTTCTTTTTCTTGATGTATTTTTCTTCGTGTCTTTCGATCTTCACTCGAAATAAGGCCGCAAATGCAATTTGTAACTCAAGAACCATGATTTATGACTTGTTGATGTTGGCATTTTGCTTCGTTTGTATTGCGTTGCATTGTGCAGTATGAAACAAAGGAAGGTCCAGCATAAAACAATGCGTGAAAATCATTTCTCTAATTTTACCGGTCATTTGCGTTCATATCCATTTTTACCAAGTGCCGGGAACATAAGGGTAAAGGATCATTCCTACAAATCCCCCAAGGTACAAGTTGGAGCCTGGATCAATTCGTTCAGTCCTATACAAGCAATGCTCATTGTACTGTTAGGAACGGCTATCGGACCGCGTGTAGAGCCGGACATTATAAGAGGCTGCTAGCAAGAAATGAAGTAAGGAATTTTGAGGTCAAGAGCATAACCAAATTTTCTGAATTAAGCGCCGGAAAAAAGTTGCTTTGCGGTAAAGTCTCGATGCTTCAAAAATGCAACTTCGGCATCAGAATTAAACACGCAGTTTGAAGTATCTTCACTTCCTTACAATCAGTAACCATTGATCTATGCCGCTATACAGCATCAAGATAAGCGATCGACCAAATAACACAAGTTACAGTTGATTCAACTCAATTACAAGTAATGAGTAGCGTGGCGGGCAACTGAACAAATTCCAAGTCCCGACCATTTGTGTATAGTTGCGGTTATCAACATCCAAGACAGAAAGCTGAAAAAAGTACAAGAAGATGCCTCAATGTGGTATAAACGTGTGATACATCAAAGAGATTATTACACAATGTACTCAAATAATCATTATTCAAAAAATCGAGTGAAAAATTATATGGAAGCACCTATTTAGGTTGAATCTAATTCACCTCCTAGTCTAAGCTATCTTGGAAGGCTGTGCACAAAAGTAGTCGCAATTCGGAAACCTATTATTTCACCATGAAAGAACTTTTACAACTGCACCCCCCAACCGCACTTGGATTTGTAGTCACCTGAACATGAAACCAGGATCAGGTTAAATATCATGAAATTCCTGTGTAAAAGATGTGACCAACTTCAGTATCATAAAGTTACAACCCAAAGACAGACAATATGCAATCGCATAATAAAACAAGATGCTTCCTCTTAAGGCATCTGACGCACTATATTAACCACCAGTAACTGTAATGAAATGGAAATACAGAAATCAAAACAACAGAAATAAATTGAATCTGTGGATCTTCAATCCTAATGAGTTACAACCAAATTCTAGGCTCTAGCTTTATTAATTTACTCCATACTGCAAAACCAATATGGTAATGGAACAGCTCAATTTGTGCCTCAAATTCAGCGGAAGACTATTTGAGTGGGATTGCCATTTCTCCAAGTCAGGCGGTAACACATTGACATCTGAACACTCATCAATAGTTCTTAGCAAAAAGTCTAAGAGAAAACTAATGTAGTTAATATTTTAAAACGAATTAACTTCATGACACGAGACCTCTTAGAATTGGAGAGTTTTCCTGGTGAGGGCCTCTCATTGAGAGCTGAACGAATGGCTGTGTACCTTGAGTCCTATAATGGTGTATTTGAATGAGGGGTTTCCAACTACCAAGGGATTTAGGTTACATTAGTAAGAAATGCCCTACAACACATCAAAAAGGGAAGAAATGCAGTACATGAGCATTACAACAGCCACTAAACATTTAGAATTTTCAATTGACTCCCTTCAAGTAGTCATTTACAAATCCCTCTAAGCACATTGCATCTAGTCGTTTCAAATCCTCTATCCAATGTTTTGTAGTGCATTTTTTACTTTTGTAGCCTAAATTCCTTGATACTTTGAAAATTCCTCATCCAAACACACCATAAGAGTCTTGTCCTACCAAATTTAGAAGGGATTCATCAGATTTCAGATTTTAAGCATCCCCATATTGTTTGACCAAACCCGTAATGGGCAACTACAAACCTAAGCAACCACACATAAGGGCATAGCCATGTTAAAAGCACCCCTGTTCTATAGCCTGGGGAAGTTTCCTCCTAATCCCACCTGTAACATAGTCCACTCATTTAAAAGAACAAAACCGAGAAACCAAGCTTCCATGTCCCAACTGAACTCACTGCAAGATTCTTCCATCCTTTATGGCTATTCCTTATCAACTACCCCCCACTCATTCACATAGAACAAACAGTTCTATCAATTCTCGAACTCTCCGCTCCATTTCATTAGAAAAAGAAATTCCTAAAACAATTTCTTTATTGTAACTCCCCTCCCTAAAAGACAAAATCCCTTGTTCTGCTTGTCTAGACAACACCAGCAATAACCAATCTGTCACACAGCAGAAGAGCATTGTATTGCATTGCCAATTATCTCTCGTTTACTGCAACCTACTTAGAAAAAAATAAAGGTAGTGATGCCAAATACAGGAAACCGTTATGATACTTTCTAACATGGTATACATGCTCACTGAATTATTGGATAGCCCGTCAAGGGAACCGTTATTATACTTTCTAACATGGCCGACAGTGCACAATGGTGAGCCAAGACCTATACAATATCTATCATTGTTATATTTGATACACAGAATACCATTATGCAATGCTAGACTTTGATATCTAGCAGATGGTTCTTACTTATCTTATGCACTGACACCACGATAGGTATCATTCAGAAGACAGAAAACATTTCAAGCAGATCTTTCATTATAAAAGAATGTACTTCTTACCGTCATAAAAGAAGACCACTGGCAGATGCTCCTTACTTTTCTTATGCTCACCAAGATAGGCATAGTTAACAACAAGAATTTCAAGCACATCTTTCTAAAGAATATATTTCTTGACTACTTATTCTAGTTCACATATCCCGAACAGTGAAATTCCATGTGGGGTCATGTGCATAAGATTTGACGTGCACCACGGACAGGAAAATTAAAGAATAAAGCATGAAATGGAATGAGATAAATTGACTTACTTGGAAAGCAGAACGAATCAGCTCCTCAACATAATCAACAGTTGCTCCTTTCACAAAATCATATGAAATATTGTCGACCACCAACTTTACTCCTCCTTTCTCAAATACTCTATTATGGAATGTATGGATTTCCAGTTAACCAAGCAAACTAAATAAGCAAAAACGTTCTTATTCAAGAATTATAAATACAGAAGGGGACAATAAATACCTGTCATCCGGATGGCTTTTGTCATCCAGATCAAAAACATATTGGAACCCAGAACATCCACCGGTTTCTACACTCAAACGTAGCACCTTTCCCTCCGCTTCACTGGCTTGCAGCTGCTTCATTCTCTGTGAGACATCCGTTAAGAAACCAAAGTCAGCACACAATAGTATGCAACTCACTCAAGATACAAGTATGGATTACCCTGACCAAAAACAACAAAGGATTACAGACACAAAAGCCCATAAGTCACATTAAACTCTCTTCGCCCGAAAACTGCATATCGCGAGCATGATAACCAATTCAATAAGAAGGAAAAACCGAAATGGTACTCGGATTATCTGCTAGAATATAGCCGTTTGGCTGGTTAGAGTCTAACATCATAAGCTTTCTTCGTGCATCCACTACAAAGTTTAAACATTTCTTGTCTGTGTTTCCATTTTGTGATTCATTCCTCAAAATTAACGAAAATGGTCAGCTAAATCCCGGAATTAAAACCATTTCGGGATTCATTCCCTTCGAGAAAATAAAAGAAAGATATAATTCCACATATCTACAAATTGATAACCCAAAAATTGAAATGGAAAAGCCAGGCAGCCCACATATGATATCGAATTGCAAGATAGGGAGAGAGTGATTACTTGAACACAGGTATCAGTCATGTGAACGGAATCGAGGTCGACGGACGGAGATGGAGAAGAAGAGGAGGCTTCTTCTGCGGCGGAAGAGGAAGAGGAATAGAAGAAAGAAGAGGATAGGAGCCTCTGGTTCTGCCTGATTCGAGCTGCAAAGTAGGGCGTGAGCCGGTGAAGGATCAGAGATCGTGGTGGAGCCATCGCCTGATAGCGGACCTTTTGGAATTTTGGATTACAAGATTTGGGGCGGTTGCGTGGTCGTCCGGGAAGCTGGCGGTCCGGGGGGAGGGGCTGCCTGGGCTGTGGTCGAAGGTGGTTTAGGATGGCCCAACTCAGAGGAAGATTGGAAGGGCGTTGGCTGTGGTGGTACGGTGGGTTAGGCTACGCTGCCGCTGCAAGGTAAGGGAGGGAGAAGACTTGTATGCAGCGGTTATATCGTCACGACTTCCCTCATAATAATACAACACAGACTTGTGCTATTTTTCTTTACATGTGCTGGAAGACGGTTGGTGTATTCAATATTTAGAATATTTGTATTGTATAAATATTAATATGTAAATTTGCAAAAATATCGACAAATATATCAATTATCATTATCGGTTGCTTTTGATGAAAATAATGAAACTTTAAATTAAACTTTGAGGATTGTTAAACATTGGTCAGAAATAAAAGTTTCTTCAATATTTAACACAAATATGAACCATATATGTCAATTCTAGCCTAAACTTGATTTCTCTAATATAAGGTGGGGATTATACTTCACTCGCATTTCTATATCTTTCTCTGGTTTTTTTTTTTTAAATATTTCCATAAAAATATCGAGTGGATTGAAAAATTTTAAACTATAGGTGTACCATATTTAGTTATATAATAAGAGGAATATTTGAAGAAAAAAAATCATCAATTGTATGATAACCAATGTTTAAAATATCGATATTATCCCGATATTTCCATCCAAAATTCCGTGTTTTTGGAGTACCGATATTTCCGATATCATCGATATTTTAGACCTTAATAGGAACTCTATGTGGTACTAAGTCACTCATGTATCTTACCATGCAATGTATGAAGTGTAAAATATTGTACTAATTTATTATATATAAATGATTATGGTGTGTTTAAACTTCTTTCATTAATTACTACATATTTTCTACACTCACAATGTTTGCCAGCTCGTTATATAATCAAATTAAATCAGTTAAATCCATCATGCAATGCATTTCCTTCCAATTTTTTTATGATAAACTAATAGATAATTGACTAAATAAACATCATGTAAAGTTTCAATAAAAATTTCCAAGTTTTTCTTACAATTTCCGTGGTTTTTATTCAATTTTTATCGATATCGATAATATCCCGATATTTCCGTGTTTTTGGATTATCAATATTTCCGATATCATCGATATTTTATACCTTAACATATAATATAAGTTGTGTTCCAAGCACATTGAGTGATTAGTTATCTGTTATCAACACAATTTATTAAAAATAAATAAATGTTCCTCCAAACTCCAATTATATAATTACATATAGTGTAATATTTTTGTTACCAGCACACTGAAAAATCTCTTTATTGTCACCTTACATTGTTTTGGGAAAACAGGTGAAGATGGTTTTCATGTATCTTAAAATAATTGAAATTAATTTCATAAAAAAAAATCAATAAATAAACCTCAGTAAAACATTTGTTCACTTTAACAGCCAGCCAACGCCGCAATCTCGTCGGAAACAGAAATAAACACAGCGAAAGCGGAGCAATGAACTCGGTGGCGGCAAGGTGCGCGTGGAACGTGTTGAAACGGGCGAGTCAGGGGGTGGAGTCAGCGACGACGACACTGGGTCATCGACATGAGCAATCGAGAGGGATTCGGGTGAAGGTTATGAACGGGAACCTGGAGTGGGCGCTGACGGTTATGCAGAGGAAGATGACGTCGAGTGGGATCGAGCGGATGATAAAGCGGGAGCAAACCCACCACCTCAAGAACTCAGAGAAGCGCATCTTGGCCCGCAAGAATCTCGAACAGAAACTCCGATCTCAAGACCTCGCTCGCAAGCTCAAGGCCGTCCTCCTCAAGAAAGTCAGGTACTCATTTCACAATCCACCAGTTGCCAAAGCCCTTATGTTATTACATCTTAATTTGTTCATCTTCAATGTAAATTATTCATTAGTGCTAATTGGTTAAGTGAATTGCAGTAGCTGGATTAGAGAATAGGGTTTAGGGTTTACACTACAAGTAGATGATTAAGAATGTGTTTAGTGCATATGGGTTTTGTGCCAAGTGACGAGTAATGGAAGATTTTGTTGTGTTTAAGCTTTTCCCAGCTTGTAGCTTGTATTGCAGTTCAACTGTTTGAGGTTTTGCCTGAGAAATGCAGCTTTTGCTTGAGTTCTTAGATTCTTGTAGTTTGTCCTTGGAAAACTAGAGCAACTTACAAGTCACGGGTACATCGCCATGTGGCGTCCCGCTAAACCCAAGGACGTGGATAAGAAAATGTTCACGTCTTTATTCCATTTGCATGGGACGCCACCATGTCAATGTACCCGTGCTATGTAAGTCATTCTCACTCTTCAAAGTTGAAAACTTTGAAACATTAATGAACCATTTGTTTGGTATTACCTTTACCAATGGTGGATAAAGGGGAAAGAACAGTTTATTAAATTCTCCAACTTTCTGTTTGGTTAGTAAGAAAAATAAACTAGAGTCCTATCATTTCCCTCCTAAACTCTCTCAAGAAAGTCAATTTATCGGAACAAGAATTGCCCAAACTTTACTTTCTCATCTCCAAATGAAAGTGAACTCCAAACACATTCCCCTCTCTGCTGGGTTATAAATTCTATAATTTTACTTGGAGAGCGGCTTATAGTTTTTCACTAGATTTCTAAGTTTTTTGTAATGTAGACAGGGACGGTTTACATACTGTTTCTAAGTTTTTCACTAGACTTCCTTTCTACGTGAATACTGCCTCTTTTGATGTTCTTTACTTACCTCTTCCATGTGTATTAATTTCTGAGTTCATATTTTGCAGAGGCCTGTGAGAATGTCGTTCGAGCAGATGCTGGATTGGCATTTACCATTTTTTTGGTTCCAGAATTTCACAGCTAAATACAGCACTCTCTTTTCATTTCCGCTGCGACTGTAGTTTTTATAGACAAGTAAGTTTTTATTGACGAGTAATTTACTCAGATTCTTCAAAGATATTATTTGTCATTCAAGCTCGAGTATAAATTTTCCTTGTCATGCAAGAAGCCTTTTACTCTACTTGTGTATATTGGAAATTTATTAAGATCGTGCTGAGTTTCGTTGTTGCTTTGCTTTTGCACGGGTTCTTCAAATTGTTGAACAAGGAACTCTTAATAAAGAACAAACAGAACATGTATCAATAGGAAACAATGTAAAGTAGAATACAAGTTACAAGACAAATTCAATGTTTTCGCACTTCTGGGGTTTAGTCCGCGTGTTATATTAGATGTCTATGAATCATAACCAAACCAGGTAAGACACCGTTCTACATTTACGGGTTCAATCCACCGCATCCACAACAAGAATAACAGGAAATCTGTAAGCCACCATAAATCCTCATCGATTTAATAATTCAGTGAGTTTTGGTTTGGAAAAGGAAGTTGCAGATCACTATGAGCTTCCAAACCCAAGAAACTGATCTACTAGTTTTGCTACAGAGTTTGCTAAGCTGTCTGCTGCATTCTGTGTGGATGCCTCCGCATATACGCGTATGACATCTTCTGTTCCTGATGGGCGTATAAAACATCGGCCTCTAGGGTATTTAACTGCAATATAAACAGGAACACAAATCCTCAAAAAATTGTTTGTCAGTTGTGTACAGAGTTAAAATTAGGAAAAGTGGCAATTTTCCGTGCAACAAATGACTACTGCTATCAACTTAACGGTCCAGACCAATAATCAACATGGATATTGTGCAGAGCAAAGACTCAACTGCACGCAAAATAAAAGGAGAAATCTGCTTACCGGTTTCAGCGTTGATGGCTGCTTGAATGCCAGGGGGTGTCACGGCCACAGTTTCTGCATTTTCTGTTACAACAGCAGTTCTGTCCATAACCTTGACCTAATAATTGTGAAGCGGAAGAATTAGTTTCTGAATAGAATATCAATTTACACCATTGTTTTTTTTGGGCGTGTTGCGGCCAACAAGAAATGATGGAAAATCAATTCACTTTTAAACGGATGACATATGAAAGCCCCAAAAGAAAACAACTATAAAGCTAATAAATCATCCATAACATAGAAGGATGGCCAAGGAAACTTGCCTTAAGCTGCCTACTGGGTAGATCCTGATAAAGCTCATTCCACCTCTGTATTGACCATCCCATATGTTTCAGAATGGCCTCAACCAAGAGTACCCCACTCAACGCATCCCCGACAGCCTGGTTAATCAATTCACTAACAGCCAAGAGTCTCAAAGCCGCCTTATGCTGTTCTGAACCTGAAAAGAAACAACCACGTTCTTCATTTAGACAGGTAATGGACAATCATGTCAGCACTAATGTAGTGCACAAAGACTGGTTTAACCTTCAGCTACATCAGAAAGCACAGTAGTCCTGGTCTCTAACCACCGTAAGTAATGTTCTGAGAACAAAATGGTGCCATGGCCATTTGCTTCAAAGTAAATCCCGATATCATACTCCGCAGCTTTCTCATGAAGGTATTTCACTCCTGTAGGAGTAAAAGTGACTTCTAGGCCTAACTGTTTGAGATAATCCGTGGATGCTCCGTTTGCATAAGCTGTTTGCACAATACCAAGGCGACACTGATAATCATTATTTCCATTAACATCTATTTCCTTACTCAAAATGCTTAGTTGCTCCTTGATGAATATAGCAAACAAGGATAAAATCTTGTCCCCATCAACGAGTTCAATCTTATTACTACTTCTAGATGGCACAATAAAATATACAAGCCGATCAGCATCACCGTCCAAACTAGCACACCTGAAAAGCTAGAAGCATCCATACAGTTAGTCCCTGCCTCTGATCATTTAATGTAACACTTTAGATCAACAGTCAAGCATTACTAATTGACCAAATAGAAAACTTGAGTAGTTTGTAAACCCAAAACGATGTTTGGATATTGCACACTGGCATCCTTCGTTGCCAAACTAGCTTTAGGGAAACCATTATTTAAAATACCACCCAACTTGTTTCTTAGCCAACGAATGTTTGCATCAAGGAAAAGATACATCCATTGTAAGCAATCCAACTAGTTGTTAAATCAGATCAAAATTCAAGTTCTCCAAAAGCAGTATGCTATTACGACAAAGATCAGAACTCGGAATTTGTTAATCACATTAACGTAGCATAGGTATTGCAATACCAATAATAGCAAATCAACAGGCCACCAAAATTCAGAGTTTCTCCCATCTATCTAATCAACGTAGTATATGTATCGCAACAATAAGCATACAACAGAATTGTCACCATAATGCAACTATCAGTCATTCTCCAACAATATCTCTGTGATGCAGACAATTCAAGCAAGTACTTAAGTAAATGATAATCAAAATTTGTTTCACAATCCATGAATAACTGACCTTATCCCAACATCCTGTGGACCAAAACTACAAGGAACGACCTTCTCTTTCTGCACATAATCAGCACCGACTCCTTCATTAAGTACACCACCTCCTCCTTTTCCGGAGTTCCGTGTCTCAATAACCAAACCATTCAACATCGTCTTCAAAAGTTCGAGTTTTTCTCCACCAACACCATTTGCCCCATCCACAACCAACTTGTCATCCACGTCGCTGGGATGAATTCCACCAGGAATCAAATCTACCAAGCACCTAACCAGCCACACAAAGCACTTAACGAAGGCATTCAAACAACATATGAATTTTTTTCAAGATCAAACCAACACATTACACAAAACTCTAGCTCCAACTAACCTAAACGAGCTTGAAAGCTGCTTGAAGTAATCAATGTCTGATACTTTCAAACCCTTATTTCTAGCCCGAACCATCCAGTGTAGCTGTGGAGTGGTTAAAATTCCCAAGTCATGGGCAACCGCTCCAAGAATTGAACTGATTCCCTTCAATGGACCAAATGCTAAGAAATGAGGAGCGAAAAAAGATTTAGAAACTGCATGCTAAGCAATGGTAAAAGAGAAGATACCTGTTTAGCAGCTTCAACCAGAGATCCTCCACTCGGTCTTGTATCTCTTGCCACCAATATCTCCACGGATTTTGCTCCATCAAGTGCGATTTTTTGGTTTTCAACAAATTCAGCTATCAACTGTTCAAGAATTCAGTCAGCATTGTACACGAATTGACACGAATAAAAGGGAGGCCCATGCGCACGCACACGCACACGCACAAGGGTTATATAAAAAATGAAAAACATACATGAACAAGCTGTTGCGGATCACGAGCATTGGCGAGGGTATCAGCGAACGGCTCCCAATCTTGAGAGAGCATTCCGCCACTCGGGTCGGCAACCTTGATTCCGTTATCAGAGACTTTGTTGTGAGAGGCTGTGATCATGAGGCCGATCACTGATTGGGTGCTGACGGCCCTTAGGGCCGCCAGAATTCCCACCCTGTAAACCGTGGATTGGAGGATTGATGCATCCGCTCTGAATCCCGCCGTTCCATAAGATAGTTTAACTCCTGGTGCCAACATTTCAAAATTAACAAACCAGAAACCTAATTTTGTTGAGAGAGAGAGAGAGAGAGAGAGAGAGAGAGAGAGAGAGATGAGGACCTTGTGGAGGCGGGAAGCGAGACGAGGAGCTCAGAAGGAGTGACCGTTGCTCTTCATTCATGGTTGCTAATCCTGATTCAAAATCACAATCAAACCCTAATCTGCACCTGCAAAATCAATAGACTCTGTAATTTGGTTTCTGTCTTTATTTTCTTCTCCAGCCGTTAAGACTTTGGATACCCAATGGCTTGGCATTTCCGTAATTTCATGGAATTCCAAGCCCAATACTGTTACCTTTGTTCTTAAAACCCTACGTGTGTGGATGGATACGCCGCCAAAGTCCCCAAGCAAAGCATCAAACATTGCATTTTACCTTACAATTCACGACAGCAGCGACAGAGTGGAAGGGTGAGCGATGGGTCTGCTCTCGTGGTGGAAAGGAAGTGAGCCCAAAGCCGGATCCAAGACCAGCCCGGATCCGAAACCGGCCGAGTCTGCTCCGGGCATGAACGGCGCCGTTGAGGTGCCTCGACCCCCCGCCGCCGCCAACATCACTGTGTTCGAGTTCGGGTCAGTGGCGGCTTCAGGCGATAAGGTCACTCTCGCCGGGTACTGCCCTGTCTCCGAGGACCTGGAGCCGTGCCGCTGGGAGATCCTCCCCGCCAGTGGGTCGGAAGCGCCCCAGTTTCGAGTGGTCTTCTAAGCACTCACCCTGTGTCTGGGGGTGTCAATTTACGGATGGTCAATGTAGTTTCTAAGCAATCCAAGTTTTATACATTTTGCTTTGTGATTTTCAAGTTTTGATTTTTAATTTGAATGTTGTTCGTAACGGCTGAATAGTGTCTGGTTTATTCGTGTGTTGTAGAAATTCACTTTTGCAGTTTCTTCTTAATCTTGGGTTGCATGGAAGGTCTGTCAATGGTTGTGCATTTGAATCCTCTCCCTCTTCAAAGTCGCTTGTATAGAAGAAAATAAGGCTTTGTTTGGTAACGTTGTCCTGATAATATGCGTTTGGTATGTTGTTTTTAACGAACAAATAATTAAAAACACAAAATACAATATTTAGCCCAGCTTCGGCAAACATCAAATTGGTATTTTGTGTCTTCTCCAAGAATGATTTTTCCAAATAAAGTAAAATACAGCTTTTTTTTTTTGAGTTTATTATTAAGTAGAGGAGTAAGAGTTTGAATTATTATACTAATAACTTGGGAAAGGGAGTTTCAAACTTGAGGCACATGGGTAGAAACTAACATTTTATCTATTAGGATATTGGACAACATGCATGTGTATAAAATAAGGAGTAATGCTTGGGAGACCAAAATTTTAAATCCAATTTGCAAATCAAATGATATGTTACCAATAAAAAATAAGCACGTTAATCAAAGTTGAGAGATGCTTACCATCCAAGCTCTTCCATCCCAAATGGTGAACAACACTTGTCTGGACAGATCGCATATTTGACAAGCGCCCATGCGCAATAGACAACCTTGGTGAATAAGCTCTTGGAGCACATTGAGACCCAACACACTCTCGACGAGATATCCCGAAACAGGATAAGGGCAAGAGACGACATTTCTTTCTAGCATTGTCCCGATAAGCAACCACTCAAGCAGCCGCGAACCGAGCATTATGGCAGTGTGCACTTCCGCCTGGCTAGCGTAACAGACAAAGAAGCAGAAGCCTAGTCTGGCTTGAGTTCAACTGGTAGCCCACATCGTGTACAACCACGAGCAACTCGCTGCGCATCGCCTCCGCGACACATACAAGCAAGACATAGGGAAAGAACAGCATAGACTCGCAAGTTAGCATAGGGGCAGCTGGAGGCTCCACTACCCCCAATAGAGGTAAATCCAATAAGAAGCAAAGAGGCTTCTAGTTGAACGATTGAACGGTTTTCAACGCATTGAGACTATTAACAAGGCGCTTCAGAGAGATATAGCCAACATGAGCATGTCACCTTTTATAGACAAGATTGAGTAGACGAAGGCCCCATGCACATTCAATATGCCACCTTTCACCCTTTCCAAGGGAGATGAAGATCGGGAGAGGCACCTGAAGCATTACCTAGCTCGATGATCCTTTACTAAAGCAATGACGCCCTCATGTGCAGGATTTTTGCCACCACCCTCCAAGGCGAGACGCAAGACTGATTCCACACTGTAATTGAAAAATGAAGTGATTATCAAATTTAAATTTAAAACTTAAAAAGTAGCCACTTAGTACTGTGATATAATAGTATTCATTTGCATTTGTAAGTGAAAAGTCTTATGATTGATTATCACCAAATGCGAGTTTGAAACACATTTGTTAGTCATTGTAAGGCTAAGTGTTGTCTTACCCTTTTAGTGTAAATAATATCATTTGTTTTAAAAAAATAAAAAAATAAAAAAAAAACTTAGAAAGTACATTTTAATTTTTGAAATGAAATGATTATCAAATTTAAATTTAAATCTTTATTTTTCATCTCTGCCGGTCTGCCTTCTCCTTCTCCTTCTCCTCCCTCTCTTTCTCATTCCCTCTCACAGTAACAGACAGAATCACACTATCATCATCAATGTCTTCTACTCCAAAGAAGCGCCTGAAACCCAAGCCCAAAGCCGAACCCCACTTTCAGTCTTCCCCTAATTCGATCGCATCGCTATTGGAACCATCCCAAAGTTTATTTCCCTCAAAGCACGACTTCCTTCGGCTCATAGCAGTCCTCGCCATCGCATCCTCCGTTGCTCTCACCTGCAATTTCTTGTCCTCCACTCTCACCGACCGCCACCGGAAGCCCTATTGCGATAGCTCCCCCGACTCTCTCGACTTCCTCCCCGGTACGCCTCTCAATTTTCTCCTGTTTGTTTCCCGAGAAAACCCACCTTTTTTTATTTACTTTTTGATGTTTTATGCATTGTTTTAGTTTTTTAGCTGAATTTCCCTTGATTTTCCAAGTGGGTTTTCTGCAAGATGCGTAATTATTTGCTGAAATGACATTTTAAGCAATGGAATTATTACAGATTCTTGTGAGCCTTGCCCAAGTAATGGACAGTGCTATGAAGGGAAATTGGATTGTCTTGAAGGATATAAAAAGCATGGCAAGTTATGCATAGAAGATGGAAGTATTTATGATACAGCTAAGAAACTTGTAGGTCCTGAAACTCTCCTTTCAGCTGCACTAACATTATTCCAGCAGATGAATGATTGCATAAGTTACATTGGAGTTTCTTACTTGGGTTTGTATGATACAGGCAGAAAGGGTAGAAATTCGTCTTTGTGAGGCGCTTGCTGAATTTTTGTGCTATGGAACTGGAACGATTTGGGTTGGTGTCTTTTCAACTCCTATGAATTTGATAAAAATAATTTCAGAACCGAGCGCAATGGCGTTCTAGGATTCATATAGCCGACCCCACTTAGTTAGAAAAGGCTTTGTTGTTGTTGTTGTTGTTGGGATATTTTCCTGTGCTTTTGAATACATATGAAATTCTTGAGTTTTTCTTGCTCTGACAGGTCCAAGAGAATGATATATGGAATGATTTAGTTAAGCAAGATCTGGTGGAACATGTTGGCTCAGACAATACTATTTATATGTATACGAAAGAAAGGACAATGGAGACTGTCAATAGAATGTTGGACATGAGGACAAATTCTCATGGGTAGGTCATTTCATATGGAATGAAGATTGTCCACTTTCTCAATTTTTCCCAACCATCCTATGTTATATTTACTTTCTTTGTGTGTAGGGTCAAAGAGTTGAAGTGCCCTGACATGCTAGCAGAGCATTACAAACCATTTTCCTGTCGCATCCGCCAATGGATCGCTGAGCGTGCATTACGTGTTTATTCAGTTTGTGCATTGGTATTCCATTCTTAAAGGCAGCCTTTAATGCTTATATTTAGTATCAACTTTTTGAAGATTGTTGACGGTATTGAGATCTCCAGCTTGTGGGATCGACATTCATTATTTGGAAACTCCAGCAAAGACGGCGTCTAGCAACTAGAGTTGATGAGCTTTACCAACAGGTATACGGTATCGTTTGTTCTTTACTTGTAAGGAACATTTACAATTTAGGCTCTCATGTAAGTCTGACATCAAAGGGATGTCACCATATTCTTAATCCTTTTATGGACCAACATTTGAGCATTTGACCTCATAAGGCCTGGATTTTGAAGGAATTATGTTAAGTAACCTGCGTTTTCTGAATGTACCTGCAACACATAGACAACTGTACACTCTGAGATGCCTGAAAAAGAAGTGGATGTTCATGTGGATTAAGTGGACATATATTAATGTTTATCCGAACCCAAACCCATGGTCATGAAAGATCAGGAAATTTTTTTTATCTGAATGTAAAATGTCGCAAATATTTTTTTGTAGTGTTGCTTCACATTTCTGTTTTATCTACCATACTCATTATCTCCTATTATAGGTGCATCTGGATGCATATGCTTCAACAAGTTTTCCTTTGGTTATAGGTGCATCTTGTGGTCTACATTTTATATGTCCATTCCACAAAGTCTAATTTCTTTTCATTTATCATCATTATGTGTCATTCCCATTATTTTTCTAATTTTATTAATTTATTTTTTTCATGTCTACTCACTGTTATCACCTTGTATGCTTGTATTATTTCTTAATTTTTATGCGTGTTTACATGTGAAATTTTGAGAGAAAAGCGAATCAGATCTGATACTTTAAAAAAAGAATGAAACATTCCTGCAGGTGGTGTCAGCGTACGATGGTACTCTGTCCATACAAAGAGTTAAAACTATCATCTCATGCAGGGAACAATAATATGGATGCTAAATTTATGTCCTTATGTGGTCACACTATATGAGCACAGATTCAGCTGCCGTCTTTTCTTGCCGTTGAAAACATCCACAAACACCATAAATTGTTGTTCTACTTAAAAATACAAGTTTTTCAATGGTGGCCCAAGTTAAGCTCTCTGGAGCATGCTAGCTCTATGTTCTATTAACTCACTGCTTGAATGCCTATTAAGGTCAACAGTTACCTTTAATTTATAACAGCATACTAAATGTGGTTGTTAATCATGCACAACTTAGAAAAGACTTGATTTTTTTAATTGCATGGGTTGGTTTGAATTATTCAATTGGTTCTGTAAAACAATTTCATTTGCCAATTTTTTAGGTTTGTGAGATACTTGAGGAGAAGGCCTTGATGTCAAAGAGTGTGAATGGTGAATGCGAACCATGGGTAGTTGCCTCTCGGTTGCGAGATCATCTACTTTTGCTAAAAGAGAGGAAGGACCCTATATTGTGGAAAAAGGTATTTTCATGTCTCTTTGGATTATCACTTCAATCTATACTTTCTTGTTGAATTGATAATTTATAAATTAATCCATGATTTTGTCAGTATCCAAAATAGTGTTCCTTTGTAAAAATGAAAAAATGACTAAGGCAAATGTGCATATAATGTTATAGGAGTTCAGATTCATTCAAATTTGTCTGTTGAAATGTACATTGGCATACTTTTCTGGGATGAGAGGTGGATCTACTTGCATGATCTAGTTGAACTAAAAGTTTCAGCGGAATTGATGTTTTAACGTAAGAACCCTTTAAAAATGTTTTAAATGATATAAATATATAATGTTTCATATTCTATTTTAAAAGATTCTATGTAAAGCAAAAGGGTAACCTCAGTTGCTGTCTGAGTGACTATAACTGGGCCCAAACTCATGTTTGGATTGGGCCACTACCAAGCTTCGAGTCACTAGGGCTAATGACGATAGTTAGTTGTATACATGATCTCAGAAGTTTTGGCTCACATTATTTCTTGCTAATTTCTTTTAAATGCAGTACAAGGGATTGAACTCACGACCCATTCTAATCTTACTTGTTTTCTTACTCCTATTACCACCATGACAACTCCCAAGCATGCCTTCTATTGGAGATATATTATTTTTCCATAAATCTCTATTCAACGTGATAAAGCCCCGTTGTATACTTGGGCACAAGTTACAAGTCATTTGTTCAACCTTGTTAGTATTTAGTACATAAAAGAACACTCATTTTTAACCCCATTAAAAAGGTTATATCACCAAGCTATGAAAATATATCATTGTCCATTATGAGAAAAAGC